CTCGCGGCCACACAGCCCATGCACGCGCCAGCGCGGCCCTCGTTCATGGCCCCGACGCACAAACGAAACTCGGAATGGCAGCTCCTCCACGCCTCCCGGGTTCCATCGAACACGTCTGGTGCCCACTTTGACACCGTTGCGCTGCTGAGCTGGATCTCACTTCCGCTGGCGGTGCCCCTCTGGTCCACTGCTACTCCGGCTGCGGCTACTCTCCCGTCGATCTGACCCCTTTTACGCTCTCTCTCGCGCGGCCCTGTCCGCCCTCGCCTTCTCCGCCTTTTCGCGGGCCTGCGTGTTCTCTGGCTGGAGAGCCGCCATCTGCCGCTGCGTCGCTCGCGCCGGCACCAGCGCCTGCCGCGCATGCTCCGCCGTCGCCGCGTTGGCGACGCCCCTCTTCAAGCTCCTCGGTCCTTCTCTAGTCCCCCTCCTCGATCTGCCGCGCCTTCTCGGCGCCGGTCGCCGGCGCGCCGGCCGCCGACCCGCGCTGCTAAGGAGCAGGCGCCCAGGCCGCTTCCTCGAACTCTGCCGCCAGGCGGCGCGCGCCCCCAGGCTCTCTCACACGCGCGAATCGCGCGAGCGGCCGCCGGGCATCAGGGAACCATGGTTCCAGCTACCGCGGATCGCGCTCACTTCAACGCTCGAATCGCAACGAAGCCAAACAGCACGGACGAGCGCAAACGCATGCCACTCTGCATCCCTCTACCCCAGTAGCCCTCACTGCTTGCTCCTACAACTCGCGCTGCAACGGACACATACCATTGGGGGGGGGCAGTAGATTCATGCAACGCGCGCACACACATGAATCCATATACGCCCCCCTCCCCCAATAAAAAAAATGAAAAAAAATAAACGAACAAAACACCCAAAATAAACAAAAACAAAGACAACAAAAACAACACAAATAACAAAACACACACACACACACTAATCCAAAAAAACGCCCTGCCCCCGGGCTAGCCACCGCACCGATGACCATCCTCCTCCTCATCATCATCCCCCCCCCCGCCCCCCCTGCCCATCCTTCTCCCGCTCCGTTCCCTCGTCCATCACCTCCTCGCCGTCGTCCTTTTCCCCCTCCTCCTCCTTCCCTCACCCCCCACCCCCCTCCCTCCTCCATTTATTCGCCCGCCCCCTCGTCCTCATCCTCCTTTTCTTGCTCCGCCTCAGCCTGCCTCGGCCTCCTCGCCGATTGACTAGGAGGACACACGCCTCGCTACGATTGCAGGCCAGCGAATTGCAACCCAACCGATTTCAAACAAATCTATGGCAACGCAGTCGATCTCAATCCGATCGACTGCAATCCCACGGATCGCAATCCAATCGATTGAAAGCCAGCCAGCTGCACTCCAGTGGGCCCCCACAGCGAGCGATCACTCCGACGATCCGTCTCCTGCTCCTCCTGTTCCTTATCATCCTCCTCCTCTTCCTCCTCCTCCTTTCCCCCTCCTCGTCCGACCCCTCATCCTCCGTCCTCATCCTTTTCCTTGTCCGCCTCCTCATCCTCATCTTCCTCTGCTTCCTCCGCCTCAGCCCAGCTGGGTGCAACCATCCGAAATTGGCTACGAATATACTGCTTGTTTTTTTGTAGACCACGTCTCTCCCCGGCGCCGGCGCCGCAGCACGCCGCGCCAGCTTCATCAAAGAAGGCAACCAAGACTAGTACCGACAGCCGTCGCGATCGCGAGCGCACCAAGTCTTCGATGACTTGGGCCGCCAAGCCGCAGGCCGAGCAGCGGCTCGAGGAGGCCGCGAAGAAGCACCTGCGGACATGCCACGACGCGCGCGCAGCCTCGCGGCGCGAGAAGGCCGCCCCCGCTCAACAGGACAAGCACCAGCGCAAGAACTTGTTCCACATGCGTCGCGACACCTACGTGGTCCAGGTGTCGGGATGAACTTGATCGCACGTCCTTGACTTCTGCACGCATGGCCACAGCAACAGAATAGGCGAACGACGACGTTGCACAGCCGAGTACACCACACCACCACCGCGCGGCATTTCGAGCTCGCGAAGAAGAATCGGAGGGGCACCCGCGACGCGCGACGGGTTCGCTGGCGACCAGCACGCAGGTTGCCGCCGCCAATGCCAAATTCCAGTTGCGAAGCGACTCAACGAGCAGACCCCAGAAGACCACCATCAGGGCCAGATCTAGCGAAGGCGAGAGGGGCATCCTGTTTCGGGGGGCCCCTTCCCAAGGAACCCCGAGACGGCCGACGAGGCAACCGCCCCTTTCCGCAAGACCGCACCAAAAGAGCCCAAGGAGCCTCCAATACCGCTCCAAGTCGACCCGAGAAGCCTCCAAGACGGCCCCCAAGCGACTCCGAGCAGAAGCAAAGCAACACGGCAGGGCAACATGCAACATCCAACCAACGAGACCTAACACAATGCAGCGGCAATGCAACCTTAACGCATAGCAATGGATAAACAAATGTGAGTCTTGTGCGTAAAAAAAAATCCTCTGGGATGCCCGCGTCGGCGCGGGCATCGCAAACGCAATACCATCACATGCACATTGGTAATCAAACGCTCGCACTGCTGAGGGAAAGCGGGCCACCAGCGCGCTTGACATATTGATTGTGGCCATAGTGAAGAGGGCTAACCATCATCATCTTCAACTGCGTGCGGGCGCCCTCTCACGTCTCGCCTGCACGCATGTGTGCGCTTAGAGAAGGATGGGCGCCAGGCAGACGGGGAAGCGCGACGAGACGGCAATTGATGACGCACTGGAAACGGATGGCAATGGCGAGGGGGAGGCGCTGCAGCGATTCTTACAGCGCGCGTGATAACCCGGCATGAGGAAGAAAAGGGGAGGGGAAAAAGGAGGAGGAGGATAAGGATAAGGATGAGGAGGAGGAAACGAAGTACGAGCAATGAAGGGCCAGGGGCAGGAGGAGATGGAGGAGGAATACCAGGCGGAGGAAGAGGAAGCGGGGGAGCGCGAGAGGAGGAAGAGAAGGCGAAGGAGGAATGGGGGGTCAGGAGCAGGAGGAGTAACAACAGGCCTAGGTGGAGGAAAAGGAAGAGGCGGAAGAGGAGCAACAGCAGCAACAGCGGCTGCATGCCACGAAACCATGCTATTAACTGGTTTGGTTTGGTATGTTTGGTCGGGGATGGCATCAAACACTGCTGGTCACAGGGTTGGGTTTTGTTTTGTGTTCAGGAGATCTGCAAGACCAATGGATTGCGCAGTTTGCAGATCTCCGGAAAAATCCAGAAAACCAAAACAACCAAACAGAAAACAAAACAAACTATGAATAACAGTGTTCGGTAACATCTCTGACAGAAACAAACAGGAAAACCTGTGAATCACATTGTTTCGTGGCCACCCTCCTCCCGCAAGTCTTTTTGGCGAAAGAAGAGGAGGAAGAAAAGGAGGAGGAAAGGAAGACGAGGAAAGGAGGATGAAGAGGAGGAAGAGGAGGAACGGAGAGAGAGAGAGAGAGAGCGAAACCGAGAGAAAACACAGCGACAGGTCCACACGGGGTGCTGGGAGGGCTGACGAGTATATCTATACATATATACACATGTATATACGTATGCAGATTCACATGTACGTTATGTGTATATGTATATAATACATATATATACATATATATATATATGTATGTATGTATATGGTTGTGTACGTATATACATATAAACATATATATACCTATATATGTGTATACCGTTCCGGTCGTAGCGGCGAGGTGACTCGCCATCGCGTCGGGCACCCCTCACGGGGCGCGCATTGTCGGAAAGAGGGGAAGAAAGGCGGAAGGAACCAGCGGTCAGCTTTGCGACAGACAGCAGGGCGTAGGACGCCTCATGCACTGTCGAAAGAAGCGGCTGGCTTTGCGACGGACCAGCGCAGTGTACGGGCCAAGCCGGCCAAAATCAGGACGGCACAGCCAGCAAGAGAAGGGAAAGGCGGGCCAAGCAAAGCGAGGGAGAAGCGAGGAGCTTGGAGCGACAGCGGACAGCCGAGGGGGGGGACGGACGGACGAGAAGGACACGGGCCGACCGACGGAGGACAGGGAGCCGATGGGAAGGGAGGAAACCACGCACCACGAGGGCAAGGCAAGCAACGGAGACGGGAAAGCGCCAGCCGAGGGAGGCGAGCGGGAAAAAGGAGGCACAATTCAGAGGCTGACGGGGGGGGGAGCCACAGGGAGACCCAATGCGGGCCAGGGAGGGGCAAATTTGCGAAGCCGTGTTTCGGGATGGATATCGGGAGGGGAGGGCGGCGCGGCGAGAAGGGGACGACGACGACGACGACGATAGGAGAAGAGCAGGACGAGGTGGACGGGAGAAAAGCACCCCGCAGAGGGGGCAGCAAAAGACGTAATTGGGAAGCCGCGCCGCGGGATGGTCCTCGGGACGGGGGGGCAACACGGCGAGAAGGGGACGACGACGACAGGAGAGGAACGAGGAGGACGGGCGAGAAGCCCCCCGCAGAGGGGGCCGGAGGGCGAGCCACCAGAGGGCAGCACGGGGCAGAGGGGACGACGACAACACGAGAAGAGAGGAGCGAGGACGAAAGGGAGGAGAGCGCAGCAGCATCTGCAGTCCAGAGGGGGCCGCAGACGCCCCCCCCCGAACGGGGAGCGAGAACAGCGAGCTCGCAGCACCTGACATCGCGCGGGAGGCCGAGCCTCATGGAGGGGAACGGAACGCAGCACGGCGAGGAAAGGACGACGACGACAGGGGAGAAGATGGACGAGGAGGACGCCAGACAGCGTGCGGATGACCCCCCGCACGGGGGGCCAACTACCCCCTGCCAGGTGGTCAGGAAGGAATGCGCAGCAGCATCTGCAGTCCAGATGGACCCGCGGATGCCCCACCTGCACGGGGAGCGGTCAATCCCCGCCAAGGGGGGAGGCAGAGAAAGAGAGGGGGAAAAAGAAAGAAAAAACAACAAACCACATAGCGATACCTATCTATCTATCTATCTATATATATATATAGATATATACAAAAACTATATGCTTTGTTTGATGCATATATATACACACATATAGGTTCCGAAAATGCCAAGCTCCGCGAGGATCAACTACTCAGTGCCGCGAGTCTGCCAGCAACTGTGCGACACGCTGGCGACCACCCAGGATGGCTGGCTGTGCCTGGAAGTAACTCGACAGGTGGGATAAATAACCTGGAGACAACTGAAAACGCCAAGGGGGGGAGGAAGGACGCACAGGAGCAGAGAGGGACGCACGACGAGCGGGGACGAGAGGCCGAGGAAAAGGAGAGGGAGGAACGAACGACGAGGGGGCCGACGGAGGACACGCGAGCGGAGTTGCCTGCACGCCGGAGCAGTGTGAAAAAGAAAATGGGGCCCGGATGGCTCTTGTAGATAGTGCCACGGCTGGTCTGGATACAGCTGAGACCGCCCAAGGGGGAGGAAGGACGCGCGAGAGCGGAGAGGGACGCGCGACAAGTGGTAACGAGAAGCCGAGGAAAGGGAAAGGAAGGGACGAACGACGAGAGGGACGACGGAGGACACGCGAGCGGAGTTGCCTGCTGTCTTGCCGTCGCAATGTGTAAGCAAGAATGCGGCTGGTGCAACAGCCGGTCTGGATTCAACTGAGACCGCCCAAGGGGGGAGGAAGAGCGCGCGAGAGCAAAGAGGGAGGAACGGGGAGGGGAAAGAGGGAAGAGGCAAACCTGATGCAGACAGATCTTTCGAGATGCTCGAGACAACGTCGAGGTCGTACCGAGAACGCCGCACAAGTCGACCTGCGATAGGCAAACTCGTGCACTTAACCTGGGCCTGACAAAAAATCGGCGGGCAGTGCTGCGAAGGAAAAACTGTGCGAGGGAAATGAAGGGCCAGCCAGGGCTGGCACCTGGCCCTGCTGGGCCAGGTGCCAGTGCCCTAGGAGTGCCACGGTCCCCCTCCCCCGAAGGGGTGCCCCGACAAGAACAGAGGGAGGGAAGAAGAGGGGAGGCAAACACACACACACACACACACACACACACCAGCAGAGCCCATTCCGTGGACAGGGTGATCTAGACGGGGCAGCAGGAACGGCGCGGCGAGATCTCGAAGCAGCACTGGCCAGGGCAGCTGGAGTCGTAGACGGCCAGCACGCCAATGTTGATGTCCTGCGAGTCGCGGTAATTAGCCCGTCCCGCACGAGCTCTCGTCGCCGCACCCGTTGAAGCAGCACTTCCCCTCCTCCGCCTCCGCCTCCAGCCCGCGCCTCCACCGCCACGACCTCCACCACCACCATCACCACCTCCAGCATGAAGCCCACCGCCTCCGCCTCCACGTCCCCCACATCGTCCACGTCCTCCGACGTCATCTACGTCCTCCGACATCCTCCTCCGACGTCCTCCACGTCCGAGGGACGTGTGCCGAGGTGTGATGGATCCGCAGAGGCTTTGGTGTTGGCTGCCTCGACGAGGGCCTTGGGCCAGGGGTGAGGAGATCCCAAGATGGCCTTGAGCCAAAACTACGGACACACACACACACACAAAAATAAAAAACAATTGAAAACAAATAGACTCGAACCTCGTCTCATCTCCTCCTCGTCCCGCGCCGGCACCCTGGCACGAACTCGTTCGTCTTCAGGCTAAGCACCTCTTGGGTGGGGGTTGGCTCTCGGCGCCCGCGTGCGACGAAGATGACGATGACGACGACGACGACGACGACGACGACGACGACGACGACGACGACGACGACGACGACGACGACGACGGGCGGCGGCGGCGATGGAGACCACGACGGCGACGGCGGCGCAACTCGCAAGTCGCCGGGGCAACCAGAAGTACCCTGAGGTCTCTGGAAGCGTTCGGAGGTCCCTGGAGACTTCAAGACAGATCTGGAAGCCCAGGAACATCCCAAAACGCAGAAAACTAAGTCGTAGACTCCAGTCTCCAGATCTCGACGACTCGAGTTTTCTTCCTAAGTCCTGGTGGCAGACCTGGGGACCTCTCTTCGGCCCGAGCCTCCGTGACGCCAGATGTGTGGCCCGTCCAGCAAGGCCTCCAGAAGTGGACGTCTCTGGAGGCCCCGGAGAGGCCAAAAACATCAGACTCCTCAGCGCCCCTCCTGAGAAGGTCTAAAATCCGACGTCTTTGGCCTCCAGGAGGAAGCGGAGGAAGCTGAGAAGAAGAAGGAGGAGGAGGAGGAAGAGGAGGAGGCGGAGAAGGAGGAGCGGGAGCAGGACCTCGCCTCCAGGTCCCCCCCCCCTCTATTGCTGGCGGGATCGGCCTGTTTTCAGAACCAGGCCCCCCTCGCACGGCTGCTACGGGCCACCCACACGGGTGGTCGAAGGCTCCAGCCAACAGACTGCACAGCCGGCAGCGACAGGGACAGGAAGAGCGGAGGAGGAAGAGGAAGAGGAGGAGGAGAAGGAGGAGGAGAACGAGGAGGAGGAGAAGGACGACGACGACGACGAAGGGGAGGTCCGCTTCATCCTTCCTTATCCCCTTCCTCCTCTTCCCCCTCCTCCACCTGCTGCTCTTCCTCCTCCTCCTCCTACTCCTCCTCCTACTCCTCCTCCCCCATCTCCTCCTCTTCTTCCTCCTCCTCCTCATGTTCCTTCTTACCCTCCCCCTCATCATCATCATCATCATCATCATCATCATCATCATCATCATCATCATCATCATCATCATCATCATCATCATCATCATCATCATCGTCATCGTCATCGTCATCACCATCATCACCATAGTCACCATCATCATCATCATCATCACCATCATCTTAATCATCATCATCATCATCATCATCATAATCATCATCATCATCATCAGCATCGTCATTATCATCATCATCAACCGCAGCAACAGCATCATCATCAACATCATCAGCATCGTAATCATCATCACCATAACCATCATCATCATCAGCATCATCCTCGCCACCAAAATCAGCATCATCAGTAGCATCATCATATGCATCACCACCATCATCAGCATCATCATCCTCACCACCATCATCATCATCATCATCAGCAGCAGCAGCAGCAGTATCAACACCAACACCATCAGAATCACCATCATCACCACCATCATCAGCATCATCATAACCAGCATCATTATCAGCATCATCACAATTGTCAAAGCATAATCATCACCATCTTCCTCATCACCAGCAGCATCAAGACTATCAACATCAACATAAACATCATCATCAGCATTAACACCATCATTATCATGTTCGTGATCATAATCATCATCATCAGCATCATCATCAAACGCAGTATCATCGTCGTCATCATCATCAGTAGCAGCAGCATCATCATCATCAGCAGCAGCATGGGCACCATCCTCATCATAGTCATCATCAGAACCACCATCATCGTCATCATCAGCAGCAACACCATCCGCATCATCATCATCATCGTCATCAGCATCACCACCACCTCTGCCACCATCATCATCGTCATCATCATCACCATCATCATCATCAGGATCATCATCAACATCATCATCATCATCATTATCATCATCATCATCATCATCATCATCATCATCATCATCATCATCATCATCATCATCATCGTCATCGTCATCGTCATCATCATCAGCATCATCATCAGAGAGAGCGTGATCCACCGCCGTTTTACTATAGAAAATTCCCCCCCTCTTCCTCCGGAACCCGGGGTTCCCCCCCCCCTCCGAAAATCCCCCCCCTGCTGGAACCCCACGCCCCCTTCCCCCGGCAAACCCCCCACCCTCCCCTAACCCCCCCCCCTCCGGAAAAAGGGGGGGGTCACTACCGGTTCGAAGCACCCCCCCTCCGCCCCCTCCTCCGGAAAACCAGGGGGGGGTCACTACTGGTTCGAACCCCTCCCCCCCCCAGAAAACCAGAGAGGGGTCACTACCAGTGCGAACGCCCCCCCCTCCGGAAAACCAGGGGGGGTCACTACCGGTTCGAACCCCCCCCCCCACTCGTCGAAAACTGGATGGGGTCACTACCGGGGGGAGATCACCACCCGTTCGAACCCCTCCCCACACCCCCCCACGCTCACCGCCAGCACACAACTCTGGGTCCCTACCACCGTCCGCACCACATCCCCCACTGCTGTCCCCAGCACCACTGTCCCCACCACCACTGTGCCCACGGTTCCCACCACCGTCACCACTGTCCTCACCAGTGCCCCCACCACTGTCGCACTGTCCCCACTGTCCCCACCACTGTTCCCACCACGGTTCCACTCTCCCCACTTTCTCCACGGCCCCAACCACTGTCCCACTGTCCCCAGTGTCCCAGTGTCCCACTGTCCCACTGTCCCCGCCGCTATTCCAATGAGCTGTCCCACTGTTCCCACCACTGTCCCCAGTGTCCCCACCACTGTCCCTACTGTACCTCTGTCCCATTATCCCACCGCCGTCCTCGCCACCGCCCTCACCACTGTCGCCACCACCACTGTACCCTCCACTGTCCCACTGTTTCCACCTCATTCCCACTGTCCCCACACCACTGTCCCCACCACCACTGTCCCCACCACTGTCCCACTATCCCCACTCTTCCCACCATTGTCCCCGCTGTCCCCACCAGTGCCCCCCACCAGTGTCTCACTGTCCCCACTCTCCCCACCATTGTCCCACCACGGTCCCACTCTCCCCACTTTCCCCACGGTCCCCACCACTGTCCCACTGTCCCCACTGTTCCAACCACTGTCCCACTGTCCCCGCCGCTGTCCCACTGTGCGGTCCCACCGTCCCCACTGTCCCCATCACTGTCCCATTGTCCCCACTGTCCCACCACTCTCCCCACTGTACTACTGTCCCACCACTGTCCTCACCACCGCCTTCACCACTGTCCCCACCACTACCGTCCCCACCACTATCCCACTGTCCCAACCAGTGTCCCGCTGTCCCCTCACCAGTGTCCCCACCACCACCACCGTCCCCACCACTGTCCGCACCACTGTCCCTCTGCCCCCGCACCACTGTCCCTACCACCACCGTTCCCACCATTATCCCAACATCCCCACCATTCTCCAACTGTCCCGAGGACCGGGCATCGTTTGCCGGCGGCGAGGGAGGGGGACGGGGGGGGGGGTCGAACCGGTAGTGACCCCCCCCCCTGTTTTCGAGGGGGGGGGATTCGAACGGTAGTGCCACCCCCCCGGTTTTCGAGGGGGGGGGGGACGGGTTAGGAACCCACAGTGACCCCCCCGGTTTTCCGCCAGCAGCGGTAGAACACGCTCTTTCCATCATCATTATCATCATCATCATCATCATCATCATCATCATCATCATCATCATCATCATCATCAGCATCATCATCATCATCATCATCATCATCATCATCATCATCAGCATCAGCATCATCATCATCATCAGCATCATCATCAGCATCAGCATCAGCATCATCATCATCATCATCATCATCATCATCATCATCATCATCATCATCATCATCATCATCATCATCATCATCATCATCATCATCATCATCATCATCATCATCATCATCATCATCATCATCATCATCGTCGTCGTCGTCGTCGTCGTCGTCGTCGTCGTCGTCGTCGTCGTCGTCGTCGTCGTCGTCGTCGTCGTCGACCCCTCCCTCCCTGGAGCGACGGCGGCGACGGCGGCGAGCCGCCTCCCTCGGCGAGGGGGGCGTGCGAGGGGGGGGGGGCGGGGAAAGGGCGGGCGGACAAGGCCCTCTGGGAGATCGACCAACGACAATTTCTGGGAGGCGCCTCGGTGGAGTTGAGGTACTCGGAGCCGTCGTGGCCGCCGATGACCTGCACCCTCTCCATCCTGCTCCATCCCCTTCCCCCGGCATCCCTCCACCCGTGCGACCGTTTGAACACATTGCGGCAGATGCGCACGGCACTCAGACGAGAAGCACACATTCAAAACCACCCTCGCTCCAGCCGCGAGAAGCATGAAAGCTTGCAGCACGGATGTGCGCGGCGCTAGGGCGAGAGCCACACGTTGAAGGCGACTCGCTCTCCAGCCGTGCATCTATTGAAAACGTTCAAGAGGAATGAGAGCTGCGCCGAAGTCGGAGTCGCACTCTCAAGACAGCTCGGCAAGCAGCCATGTAACTGTTGGAGCGGCCTTGTAACTTCAAAGCATGCATGATGAGGACGTCTAGAGCGGAACGCCCACACTGTCCTACCTACTGACATGCCCGGTGATGCAGCGACGAAGAGAAGGAGGAGAAGGAAGAGGAGAAGGAGGATTATCGGCGAGAGGGGGGGGGAAGAGTGCCCAAGCTACAATATTTGTTTGACCTGTGATGGCGGGAGGCGGTTGGCACCATGAGCCCCACATGTTGCATGGGTGTCCAGCTCGACCCAAAACATCCACCGCTGAAAATTAAGCAGACCTCCAAACCCCCAACGCTCTTCAAGGAACAAAGAAGGAAACACTGGTCATAGACATGCTGAAAGCCGGCGCTCCTGACACGCGAGGCAAAAAGGCAGTCGAAGTCCAGGGCGGCTACAGGAGACTCGCGCGGCGAGAACGCCTCCCAACGAGCGACACGAAGGTGAGACACTACGACGGGGTCGTCGTATCCAGCGCGTCTCAGGACGCCCGCTGAATTGTGACCTTTTACGAACCACCGCCTGGCTCCATGAATCATCAAGGCTGCGGTGGCCACGCGGGCCAAGCGGCACATCGACTCTGTAGGCGACCCAGTCTTGACTCAGTCAGTTTCGGTTGCCTGATTGTCGATGAACCATGTCACGTCCTGGCTCTGCAGCAGGGCCGGCATGGATCACACCAGGAACGGAGCGGATAGCAGCTCTGCCTGGTTGGTCACATGGCCGCCCCGTGAGCCAAGGTGGACGGGGATTTGTCTAGATACATCGTACACCAGGCAAGCAGGCGCACGTCCAGGAACGAACACGAAGGCGCCAATTCGCGGCGGTTTGTCACTGTCCGCGGACGCATCTGCGTAGATCACTACTGGCGGAGGCGGGCCACGCCCGATGGCCACCGACCTGGGCGCTGCATGCCCTGCCACGGAAGATAGGTACTGCAAGCAACACCGAAGGTTCGGAGTGATGTCCGCAGCGTCCTCGTAGGAATGGCGGGCAGTCTGGGCAAACAAGATCGTTCAGATATCCCAAGACCGGCAGCACCGAGGTCGGTTGCACGCGCCGTCCGTCCGAGCATGCGTGCGAGTTTCTGGAAGGACAGTTGGGCGTCCACCTTGGACAGCGCAAAGTCTACGATAAGACACTGACGTACAGCAGGTGGCGTTCGGCAACTGTGAGGAGGAGCGAAACCTGGTCGAATCCCACCAGCCCTCTGGGCTTGAATGGTTTAGAGCGCTTCCTCTTCCAACTCCCCGTCTCCCCCTTCGGGGAGGGGCTTATCACTGTTTCCTATGAATATACACCCCCTCCCCCAGGCGACCCGCAGCCAACCAGGAACAATGAGGACCCCATGATCTTCCCCCCAACCATCCTTGTCAAAAAACAATACGAACACACACTCTGCCTCCAAAGTCGGAGCATGCGCAACCAACCCGATGAGGGCCCCCCCCACCATCCCTGTCAAAAAACAGCATGCAGTACACTTTGGGGCAAAGTCTGGAATCATATTCGTGAGTCCCGCGAACACTCTGTACCGTTTTTTGACAGGGACGGTGGGGGTGGCAGCGTATTGCCTGCTGCGCGCCAGGTTACCATCCCTGCCAAAAAATGCAAAATGCACACCTCGCGGCTAAATCTGGATCATGCGCGGCCACCCCGCGATCACTGTCAAGTGGTTTTTGACAGGGACGGCGGGGGTGGTGGCGCGTGGCCTGCTGTGCGTAGGCCCAGCAGACACAATGATGGGCATCGGTGTTTGACAAGGATGGCGGGGGCCGACGCGTTGCCGATGTGTGCCGTCACGTGCGCAGGCGCACCTGACGCACTCTGCACGTGCCCCGAACGCGGCGCACCTGGCGCGGCGTGAGTATGCGGCACACCTGGAGTACTCGGAGCACGTGGCGCGTCTGGCGCACCAGGCGTGCCTGGCACGCTCGAGCCCCAGGGGTGCCTGGCGTGCGTGGCGCGCCTGGCACGCGTGGCGCACCTCGACCCAGCGTCGCGCAAATGGGCTTGGTTTTGGTTCCCAGTAGCTGTCCATCCAAAGACGACCGCTGAACATGCTGAGACTCGGGTGTTACTTATGTGTTGGGAGGGCCCGGTGCGAGTGAGCTAGACGGCTTGCTATCTAGGAGGGTGTCTTGATCACTGCTCCTTATTGATATACACCCCCTCCCCCAGGCGACTGGGGGCCAACCAAGCACCATGCCGACGACATGGCCACCCGCCCCCCACCATCCCTGTCAAAAACAATACAAACTGCACTCTGCCTCCAAAGTCGGAGCATGCGCAACCAACCCGATGCGGCCTCCCACACCATCCCTACCCAAAAACCATGCAAAGTACACTTTGGGGCAAAAGCTTGAGTCGTGTTCGTGAGGCCCGCGAGCACTTTGCTTTGTGTTTGCCAAGGACTGCTGTGCGCAAGGCTACCATCCCTGCCAAAAAACAATACAACATGCACCTCGCGGCTAAATCTGGATCATGCGCGGCCATCCCGCGATCACTGTCAAGTGGTTTTTGACAGGGACGGCGGGGGTGGTGGCGCGTGGCCTGCTGTGCGCAGGCCCAGCAGACATAATGATGGGCATCGGTGTTCGACAAGGATGGCGGGGGCCGACACGTTTCCCGATGTGTGCTGTCACGTGCGCAGGCGCACCTGACGCACTCTGCACGTGCCCCGAACGCGGCGCACCTGGCGCGGCGTGAGTGTGCGGCACACCTGGAGTACTCGGAGCACGTGGCGCGTCTGGCGCACCAGGCGTGCCTGGCACGCTCGAGCCCCAGGGGTGCCTGGCGTGCGTGGCGCGCCTGGCACGCGTGGCGCACCTCGACCCAGCGTCGCGCAAATGGGCTTGGTTTTGGTTCCCAGTAGCTGTCCATCCAAAGACGACCGCTGAACATGCTGAGACTCGGGTGTTACTTATGTGTTGGGAGGGCCCGGTGCGAGTGAGCTAGACGGCTTGCTATCTAGGAGGGTGTCTTGATCACTGCTCCTTATTGATATACACCCCCTCCCCCAGGCGACTGGGGGCCAACCAAGCACCATGCCGACGACATGGCCACCCGCCCCCCACCATCCCTGTCAAAAACAATACAAACTGCACTCTGCCTCCAAAGTCGGAGCATGCGCAACCAACCCGATGCGGCCTCCCACACCATCCCTACCCAAAAACCATGCAAAGTACACTTTGGGGCAAAAGCTTGAGTCGTGTTCGTGAGGCCCGCGAGCACTTTGCTTTGTGTTTGCCAAGGACTGCTGTGCGCAAGGCTACCATCCCTGCCAAAAAACAATACAACATGCACCTCGCGGCTAAATCTGGATCATGCGCGGCCATCCCGCGATCACTGTCAAGTGGTTTTTGACAGGGACGGCGGGGGTGGTGGCGCGTGGCCTGCTGTGCGCAGGCCCAGCAGACATAATGATGGGCATCGGTGTTCGACAAGGATGGCGGGGGCCGACACGTTTCCCGATGTGTGCTGTCACGTGCGCAGGCGCACCTGACGCACTCTGCACGTGCCCCGAACGCGGCGCACCTGGCACGGCTGAGTGTGCGGCACACCTGGAGCACTCGGAGCACGTGGCGCATCTGGCGCACCAGGCGTGCCTGGCGCGCGTGGCGCCCCTGGCACGCGTGGCGCACCTCGACCCAGCGTCGCGCACCTGGGGTCGGCTTTGGTTCCCAGTAGCTGCCCATCCACAGACGACCGCTGAACATGCTCAGGCTCGGATGTTACTTATGTATAGGGAGGGCGGGTGGGAGTGAGCTAGACGGCTTGCGGTGGGGTGGGTAACTTGATCACTGTTCCCTATTAATAAACACTCTCTCCCCCAGGCGACTGGGGGCCAACCAGGGTCCATGCCGACCCCCCACCACCATCCCTTGCAAAAAAACAATACGAAACACACTCTGCCTCCAAATTCGGAACATGCGCAGCCAACCCGATGCGCCCCCCCCCAACATCCCTGTCAAAAAACAATACAGAGTACTCTTGGCGGCGGCGGCGGCTGCGGCGGCTGCGGCGGCGATGGCGGCGGCTGCGGCGGCTGCGCCGGCGCGGCGGCGGCGGCGGCGCGGGGGGCGGCGGCGGCGGCGGCGGCGGCGGCGGCGGCGGCGGCGGCGGCGGATTGGCCCCCAGTAGCTGCCCATCCCAAGACGACTGCTGAATATGCTGAGGCTCGGGCCAGACTCGGGTGCTACGTATGTGTTGGGAGGGCGGGTGGGAGTGAGCGAGACGGCTTGCGGGCGGGGAGGGGGTAACTTGACCCCTCCCCCTACCCTCTCCCCCTGGGTTTGGAAGGGGGGTTCGCGAGACGTTGGAGCGTCTCTTGTTTGCCTCGTCGCGAAGCCAAAATCAGCTGATGTTACTAAGGTGTTGGTCACATTCTGGGGGGGAACACCTAATGAGGGAGACCCCTCCTGGCCCCCAAATGGCCCCCAAGAGGCCCCCAAGAGGCTCCCAAGAGACCCGCGGCTCCCAAGAGACCCCCAAGAGGCCCCAACAGGCGCCCCAAGAAGACTCGGCGAGAAGGCCCAAATCACTAATGTGGCTAAAGTTCTGGCCACGTGTTGGCGTCCTCGGAGGGAACCCTGGGGGGGGTCTGATTAAGGAGCCCCCTTCCTTTGATCGATCTCTCCCAAGACGGCCCCAAGATGGTCCCCGAGGCAAGGGTGCCCCAAGACGGCCCCAGG